AGGCTAATGGACAAAGTTAACCCATGCTTGGATTCCCCTCGCAGCACACATAGAAGGACTGTTCAGGTAAGTCAACGGTCGATTTAGAAAAGCAGCAACACATACACACACACTCACAAACACACACAGCCATGACTCCCTTCCCTCACAAGCTGCTGCTGCTGCTGTAGCAGGGGTAAAAGTGACCACCCAACATCTTCTGTCCCTCCCTCTGTTCCCCCCACCTGTCCGAAGAAAATTGAAGGCTCTTTTGGAGTTGCGCTGGTTGAAGTACAGGTCTCTTGTCTGACTGTGCATCTGAGAAATGGTACTTTCCTGGTGGGCCACAGGGCGTCCAACCCCCAAAGACAGGGAAGCACGTTGCCACGCATGCCATGTCTGGAAGGCCACTGAGCCAGAGGCAGGAAGAGCTTCTCAACTCTGCTGGCCACCCCACTGTTTTCAGTATATTCCTTGTTCTCCTTGGTTGAGTTGGCCGTGGCCCATAGACCAGGACAGAGAATTTTAGATCCTGCTGTTCCAAAATCCAGCAGGGGCTTCTGTCTTTCAGGCCTTCCAAGACACGGGCCAAGAAAGCCTTTCAAGTCTAGTCATGGTCCAGTGTGGGAAGTTTTGCCTTTAAAGCCTTTCTAGCATCTAAGAACACCCAGCCTTCAGCGGCTTCCAGATTCCCCTTCACAGTAGGTTGCATTGAGTATTTCAAGGTCCTCCCCACCGTTGACCCACTCAATGCGTTGGCAAGATCCTGCATTTCTTGCAAAAGGATATTCTTTCGGGATCCAACATTTGCAGAAAGTGGGTATACGAGGGGTAGAGGCCTAGGAGCATGACATAGTTCTGGTCTCTGGCATTAAGTTAGTGGCATCTCTCTTGATCCTAAGAACAGAGGGAGATGTATTCTAAGGTGTTAATTGTTCCTGTTTACCCCACACACACACCACCCCCTACTTCCTCAGGAGGAAAAAAAAATCCTCAAGAAACAGAAAAACTGGTCCCAGCTTAGAGGTTGTGGGGAGAGAGGGAGGTTGAAGAAGATGCAACAAAAATTCAGAAGGGAAGGAAGGGGAGTATCTAAGGGGGGAAAACATTAATTTAAAAGGTTGTGTCTTCATTTCCCCAAATAGTTTCATCTGGAAAATCACAGAGATAGGAAGTTAGCAATTTTCATTTCTCCCATCTTTCCACAAAGGAGAAGACAGAGATTGATGAACAAATTTGCAGAAAGACTCTCCTGACCTCCCAACATGGGGTTGGAGGGCCTGCAAGGACTTGGGTCCCTCCCTTTCCTTCCACCTCCCTTCTACCACAATCCAGCTGCTCCTACTTGGTGGCTGCCGTTGGAGGGGCCCCACTGCTAATGAAGAACACAGGGCAAAAGGGGATGTTTGGGTGGTCAACACCGGGCCAAAGGTCCCCCAGTTATAGCAAAAAGGGGTTGGTGCTCCCCAGGGTGGAAGTGCTGCTGGGAACAACGCTGGCAGGGGGCAGGCTCTGAGGGGGCAGCCCCATGGCAGGGAGCCCCAGAGATGGAACAGCCGCCAAGGGCTGCACCACCACCATGGGGGAAACGGAGGCTAAGGGCATCCTAGGAGCCATGGGGGATATGGAGACAATTGGAGCTGTGGCAGGAAACATTGGTTGCACTGGCTGGGGCAACGGAAGAACTGGACTGACACGGAGCTGATTGAGTGACAGCGGGGTGGCCGCCGCTGCCTGGAATGGATTGGTGGCCGAGGCAGATGGGGCGGGAGCTGAACCTGCAGCAGGCAAGAAGACAGAAAAGAAAGGATCATTACAGAGAAGCCCAGAGGGCCTCCTTCTGGCCTAAAATCCCCAGAGGTCTGGCTATTGGGGGAGTTGCTTAACCCTGTCAGAAGTCCACACATCTTCAAGTTGTCAAGGCTGAGGAACACTGTTCTAATGTATCCTCTAGAAATGTATTTCTCAACCCTGACATCTAGAATATGTGTGGACTTCAACTCCCAGAATTCCTGAGCCAGCATGCTGCCTGGGGTATTTGGGGAGTTGAAGTCCACACATTGTTGCCAAGCTTGAGAAACACCGCTCTAGAAGGTTCTACCTGTTAGTCTGGCCCTGCTTAGTGTCAGCAAACTCTGTTCTATGAATAAACCTTCACATAGTTTTCCCCAATCGGGCACCCATCCAGATAAAGAAATTTTTATTTTTCTAGTCTTACAACCTTTATTTCCTACTGATCCTTTAGATGCTCAAGATGACACGCATGGAGTCATTCATTACATAGTCACAGCAACCCTTTGAGGTAGGCTGGATTGAGAGACCGTGATTGACTCAGTTATCCAGTAAGCCCTAAAGTGAAGTGGGAACTTGAATCTTGGTCTCCACACTCAAAACCTGAACCACTACTTTGAAATATTTTTGGCAATCACACCCCATAATTCCCATACCAGCTGAGAACAATAATTAACATTTTATCAGGCAGTCAAATTGGGATAAAGCTGTTTCAAAAAAGAATTTACATTTTATTTATTTGTATCTCACCTTTATTATTTTTACAAATAACTCAAGGGGGTGAACATATCCAACATATCTTCCCTCCTATTTTCCCCACATCATCATCCCTGTGAGGTGGGTTGGGCTGAGAGACCATGACTGGCCCAAAGTCGCACAGCTGGCTTTCATGTCTAAGGCAGAACTAGAACTCATAGTCTCCTGGTGATTGGCCCAAATCACCCATCTGGTTTTCATGGCTAAGGTGGGACTATAATTCAAAGTCTCCGAGTGACTGGGCCAAAGTTACCCAGCTGTGTTTCATGGCTAAGGCAGAACTTGAACTCACAGTCTCTTGCTTTTTAACCACTAGACCAAACTGGCTAGCCCGATTTCAGTGTTGCTTATACAGGTAGTTCTCAACTTACAACAGTTTCTTTAGTGACTGTTCAAAGTTACAATGGCACTGGAAAAAGTGACTTATGACCATTCTCACACTTATGACCATTGCAGCATCCCCAAGGTCACATGATTTACATTGAAATGCTTGACAAGTGGTTCATATTTATGATGGTTGCACTGTCCCAGGGTCATGTGATCACATTTTGCGACCTTCTGACAAGCAAAGTCAATGGGGAAGCCAGATTCACTTAACAATCATGTTACTAATTTAACAACTGCAGTGATTCACTTAACAAAACAAGTTGTAAAGTGGGACAAAACTCACGTAAACAAATTTCTCACTTAGCAACATAAATTCTGGGCTCAATTGTGGTTGTAAATCGAGGACTATCTGTAATTAGATGATTCATTTTGATTTCTATCTCAGTGAAATCAGTGCAATGGAACCGATTTCCTACACTTCAAACCAAGTCTCCTTGAGCACAGCAATGAGTAGGAGCCCCTTTATTTGCTCTAACCCCCCCCCCCCATCTTGACACCCCAAAGCATACAAACCGTTACCAGGGGGGAGGAAGGGGTTTGAAGCCTTGGTGCTGCTGTATGGAGCAGCAGGTTTGCTGACCAGAGAGTCCAGATCAACGAGGGCTGCGTTGGGACCCAGGAACGACTCGGGGGTTTTACGCATCGGCTTGCAGGTCTCTGGCAGTGACCCAACCATGGCAGCCATATCAAAAGCGCAGGGGCTGTCCTTGCCGCTGCCAGCCTGAGAAACAGGGACCTCCCCTGCTAAGAGGGACAGTTCACCTGTTGAACAAGAAATGAGAGACAGAGGAGGGGTGGAAGGGAGGAGTAAAAATCCAGAAGCACAGAGAACGTGGACGGAAAACACAGACTCCATTTTAGACAGGGCAATTTGTTGGGCATGTAAGAAATTGTGCTTGGTTTATGGCTGTCCACAATCAATTTGCCCTCATTCCCCAAACCACAAACAAACCCCCTACTTCCCCACATTTTAGAGGGTGTTTTTTTTTTGTTAATTAAAGTATTAAATTATTTTCCCATCTCTTTAGAACTACATGCAGGGACATGTAGTTTGGAAAACCAATGTCCAAACAAGATTAGAGGATACAGGGAGGGAGAGAATCAAAGGGAGGAGCATGCAAATTCTCTCTCATGCCAGGGGAGCTAGAGGTCATCTAGTTCCCAAACCATTGGCCTGGATAGGTTAGAGGGAAGGGAGGTTAGAGCGGTGTTTCTCAAGCATGGCAAACCTGAGGATGCGTGGACTTCAATTCCCAGAATTCCCCAGCCAGCTGGCTGGGTGTTGGGAATTCTGGGAGCTGAAGTCCACGCTTCTTCAAGCTGCCATGGCTGAAAAAAAACACACTGGGGTGGAGCATTAGGAACCATGCATTGGAAAGGGTAGGGAGGTGGGTAAAGCAAGGCTGACCTGTGCTGCTTCCAGATTTGTGCAGTGCTGGATGCAGGCTGCCAAAATCAGAGAATTCATCCCTGTCCCCGCCATCAAACTGCTCAAAGCCTCTGGCAGCTGGGAGAGGAACAGGGCACAAGAGGAAGGATGGGGCAGAAGGATTAGCTGGGAGCAGGAAGAGTTATGAATTAGGAGTCCTTCCCCTTCAGCTGACCCAGTGAGAAATACTGGCCTCTCCCCCTCCCTTTTTCCCAGCACTTGGTCCTCAAGCCCCTATTGCTCGTTTCATCCTTACCTGCCATGCTGTTGGTGCTAGGGGTAGAAGGGGAGGCCCCCCAGGGATCTGAAAAAGTGGATGCTGGAGCCCAAGGATCAGGAGCAGGCTGTCCTTGGGATGTGAGAGCCGTGCTGGATGACCATGGGTCTGTGGGTGGTGCTGTTGTAGGCACCACAGAAGTCCCACCTGGGAAGAAAATAAACCATGCCAGAGATGGAATTCGAGAACTGCCTGTCCAGCAGTGATGGCGTGTTTAGATCCAAGTGGACAAGGAAAACACAGCAGGGTTTTGAGGGGTGAGGTGGCCAAAATAATGCTAGATCACTGGAAGCTTTTTTTTTGGTATATGTTTTATTTGTAGTTTTTCTTTAACAACCAACATTTTTTGTGGACAGTGTAATGACTGGGTTAACATATTTTTCACACAGTGCTCACAGTAATAATACAATTGCATATACAGAATGTTTATCTTCCAACTTCTAACCTTAATGTGCTCATTATAATTATAATATATTATTTTATATACTTATTAACTCATAACATTTTAATATTATAGATATCACTCAGTGTTCCACCACGTTTTCAATGTCAACTTTTTATAAACACCAATAAAACCAGTTGTCAATAAGATTTAATCAGTCCCAAGATTATATCTCTAAGTACCCTGAATTTATAGTCCTTGAAAACTATATTTTCCAATATTTTCCATATTTTTTCCATCCTGTTAATCATACCTTTAGATATACCTAGTCCTAGTCTTCCACCTCCTAATCTTAATATATCTGTATTTATAATAAATTCTTTTATATATATGTATATGTATATATGTATATGTATATACTGTTTTTTGTTCTGTCAAAGCACCCGGTCTGCCCAAATATGGGAGGGAGCATACTGCTTCCCTTTCGCCTTTCAGCCCCACTCCAGGAGCCTTCCAGGCAGTCACTTACACGACAAACCATTTTGTGTTACCTTTTTGCTGATAAAGAGTTCGAATCCTGTTAGATTAGATCTGTACTAGTGTCCCTTCATTTCTTTATCAGCAATACACATAGACAGACACACACACACGTTTTCAATATTGTTACCATATTGCAAAATATTGTTTCTCTATCCATCATCTCTCAGCCTTTTAGAATTTCATCATTTATTGATTTTTTGTGATTCTTTTATGTTTCTCTCTTGGAAACTTATATGCCTTTCTAACATTTTTACACAAACTGTTTATTCCCTCTGTCTTATCCTTTATCTCCTTCTGTTGCATCTTTGAATATCCATCCAGAACCCTTCCTTTGTTTTTGTGAGCTCCTCCCCGCCCCCATTATAAGCTCTTAAGGGATTGTCTATTTGATTTTTAGTATTTGTCATTGCTGTCTTTTCAGTATTTTTATCTGCTTTTAACTAATTTTTATCTTTTTGCAGTTTATTTTGCATTGTCTCCTCCACCACTACTTTTAATTTCTGAACTGTCTTCTGTGTATCATATTCATCTTTTCCCATCATTTGTTGAGTGCCCTCTACTTTCATATCTTTATCTTTAAATATTCCCATCAACTTCTTATAATTCTTTGTCGCTATTTCTAACATTTCTTCATAAAACTTTATTGTCTCCTGCTGGGTCATTTTGTAACAAGTTAATATTCTTCTAATATCCCAGTATCCCAATATCTAAAAACTCCAGAAAAAAATAAATTATTAACAAGATTTGGTCAATCCCAAAGTTATTCCTCTAAGTTCCCAAAATATCTATACATTTGTGCTTTTCAGTTTTTATAATTTCCAATTTACACCTTCCCAATTGTCCAGATTTTAAAATCTTATTTATGTTTTCTTCTTTTTCTTTCCCCCCTTCTGTCGCTTTTCTTCTTTTGCTTCGTAAGATGATAAGATGATCTATCATGTTATGTTAATAGTCCAAATCCAACTTAGCCCACCAAGTTTTTTCAAATCTTTCAAATCCGCTTTTCCATGTACTGTTCCAATAGAGGTTTAGTGTTTAATTTAATTTGCCTTCTGAATCTTCAAAAAGCTCAGTAAATATTTCCCAGCATCCAAATTGCCTACTAAGATAAAGTCAAGGTCAGGTAGCTTTCCAGATGTTGCTTACTTTCTCATTACTTTCCCTTGAATTTTATACAATGCAGTAATCTTCTTCCTCTAGTAGATGGCTCCCCTGTTCTCAATTCCAGGGTTCCACAGAATGTAAAAAACCAGAAACAGCTGATTGTCATCCAGTTAGGGGAGTTAGAGATAAAGTTTAGAAAAGCAATTTCTCCTAATAGTCACTTTTCACAACATAGTTTGGCTTTCCCAGGCTTTCTATGTTTTAAATTATCCTTTAGGTTTTTCTTTTACTTCTAAATCTTTAATCTTCATTTTTAGTTTTTAGTCTTTATCTTTCTCCATAAATTCAATCGCTGCTTTTTTAATGTTTGGAGATCATTTTTTGAAACTTTTAACTTAGGTTAAATCTCTAAGGTAACAGTTGGACATTTTCTCACCCAGTTTCACTGCTCTGTCCACACACCGCTCCAGCACAAGATCTTAGTGTCCCAGTTGTCCCAGCTTGTGACTCACCAAAAATGGCCGTTATCCCTGCTGCTGTTCAGGAGAGCTTTCTTTGGATCAACGAGGAAATTGTGGTTTCCTCGCGATCGACGAAGCGCCTCTCCTTTCTTCACCACCTCTCCAGGGCAGCTTAACCCTATAGGGTCTCCCAGCAAGCAGTTGCCTGCAGCATTTCACAGACCCCGGCAGAGCTCCGCTATTTTCCAGCCGTTCTTGCCACGACATCAACCGGAAGTCCACTGCAAGCATTTAAGAAGAGTTTGAACAGACATTTGTCCAGAAAGTGTAGATCTCCTGCTTGGCCTCACAGTGGTTTGAACTAGAAGAACTTCAATGTCTCTCCTAACTCTGTTATTCTGCACTCTGTATTGCAATGCAGGAGAGCATGCTTTCCTTTCCACTGGCGAAAGACCTTCAAACTGCAAAGAGGTTTAACTGAAGCAAAGGAAATGGTTTCCCTGTTAGATAGATTGATGCATCTATCTCAACCTCCTGACTAGAAGTGGCTCAGAGAAAAGAAAAAGCAGTAATTGAAAATAAGCCAACATGGCTTCTAAAAGGTGAGTGATCCCCTGAACCTTTTGGAGTTTTGCGAAGATAGGAATAAGCATGTGGACAAGATACCTAGTAGATATTGTGTACTTGGATTTTCAAAAAGTCCTCACCAAGGGTCTTGAGCAGGAGTCTTCAAATGTGGCAACTTGAAGACTTGTAGACTTCAACTTCCAGAATTCCTCAACCAGCTTTGTTGGCTGAGGAATTCTGGGACTTGAAGTCCATAAGTCTTCAGGTTGACATGTTTGGAAGACCCCCTGATCTTGAGCAAAGTCAGTCAGCTTCCATGGGTTAAGACTGTAGATACACTCAGGGACTGGGAGCTGGTTAAAAAAATGAAATAAGTGGTAAAAATAAATGGGCAAATCTCAATTGTGCAAAGATGTTAAAAGCATCTGCCCTCCAGCAACAGGTGCTGGGACCAACACTTTTTGTTTGAGATT